CTTTCTTATACTCATGGATGTGTCCTCCCTTCATATCTCTGCTCAAATGTGAATTTCAGAGAACATCCCTGGATGATTCACCTGAAACAGAACCCTTACCACTCTGCATTCCCTCTTACACTGCTTTCTCTTTCTTCGGTGAATTTATCACTGTCTGATATATTTTGTATTATTTGTTTATTTTCTGCTGACTGCCCTAAGCTACAAACTTCACAAGATCAGTGACTTGGTCTGTTCGTTTTTTGTTTTGTTTTGTTTTGTTTTGTTTTGTTTTTCTTTGGCCTTATAGCTAGAACAGTCAATGTACTGTGCTCAAAAATATTAGTCACAGACTAAAAAATTGGGCAAAGGCTAGTAACTCTTTGTAGGGAAAAAAAAAAAAATCAGCAGCCTGTGAATAGCTAGAAACTCTGTACCTAAGCCTGGTCAGACATCTCAGAAGTTCATTTAAAGAACATAACAATACCACTATCCACTTTGTTTCAGGAACTATTTTTAGAACTAGCAAATACAAAGAAAGATATGGATTAGTCATCATTCTGGAAGAATTTACAGTGCGATGGGGTAGAGAGACAAGTTCACAACTAAAGTCAGTCCTGATTGGATTAGATCTAAAACCTCTACAGAAAAGCTACCTATCAATTCTAAAACAGGGAGCAAAATCTGTGCTGTGGGAATTGGAAAGCGCTTTAGCAAAGAGGGATGCCATGACAGGAGAAGAGGTGGTGTCTTCGATGGGGGAGACGAGAATGGGAGAAAGCTCGGTAGCATGAGAAATCCTGGACTGTTGAGTAGCCTCTGGCTTGAGTGGGAGAAATTTAAGTTGAAGACATGAAAAGTATTTGGAAAATGCACACTGTTGCACACTGCTTGGTCTCTTTATGACATACAGCACCTGACAGGTGGATCTACCTTCAGGTGCAGTCCTGTGGGCTGGTGGAAGAAGACAGGACATCCCCTAGAGTGTTGAGGAGAAGATAAAGAAGTGAGAGCCAAAAACAATGAGGCCCCAATATGTCAAAAAAAGTTGTATGGATAGAGTTTGATAAGGGACACAAAACCAAGATACTTAGTTATGCGAAGGAGCCCAAGGGAACTTAGTTACTACCGAAACACACATTCGTTCATCTGTGCTTCTACTGCCCTGTGCTGGGGTCATGGCAGGTGCAAAGATGGTACAGAAAGAGAAATAATCAGCCAGGTCTCCATTAGCAATGCACCACACCTCAGGTAAGTGTTGGTGAGCAGCTGTGGTTTCCTGGTTCAAGAGGTTTGCATTGAATTGAACGAAATTGTGTTTTATAGACCAAAAATTGTCAAATGACTGACAAATTCATATGGTTCATCTTACTATTTCTCATGACCTTTCTCAGAAATTTACCTCTAAGCTTTCTATGCTAATCTATTTGCACCCCTCTATTCTCCAGTATCTAGTCCAGAGTGATATCCTGTTTATGCAAACATTTTATTCTCTCCAGAAAGACCACATGAGCGTGCCTGAAACAGGCCACCAGGCTCCTTCATCAATCTTGCTGTTTGCTTCCTATGTCATCTAATACTGATATGTCACTAAAAACAAAAATGCTCAGATACATCAAAAGAGCACATTGTGAATCCAATTACTCATTTATTATATAACCATTTACAGGCATAATATATCTAATAAAAATTAAATGTATTAGAGATGAATGGTAAACATGTGATGCCAAAGTACTATAAATATTTTAGATCAATTTTTAAATTTCATTCAAAAATAAACACTTCATGAAACCCAGAAAAATTAATTAATATGAAAAAAATTGATAATGAAATAATATTATTTAGTACTTTTAAAGGTCATTGTCAAAGAAAAAGAACAGCGTATCAACAGGAATATTATGGAGTCCCCAGTAGACTGATATATGAATCTTCCCCACTGCTGAATGAACAGGATCAGAGAGGCAGTGAGGATATAATCACAACCGAGTATTTTCTTTAGGCCCTAATTATCATATCCCATTTCTAGATTGATAATTTGGAAGAGATATTTTGACCAACTTTTTTGTTTTTTCTCTAGGGGCTTCAATCTGTCAACTGATAGCAAACTCTAGTATATGTTTCCAAAAACAAATCTCAAGGTCATCTTTGAGTCATCTTTGACATCTTACATTCCATTACATATGGGAAGAGGTTTGATGTGGTTACTGTATCAATGTCAACACTGATTCTTCATCTTCCATTTGTTTTCCTGGCTCTGAACATATGTAAAGTAGAGGCAGGTTCTCAAGTGAAGGCAATGTGACCTCCAAGGGAAATTTCAAAATCTGTGGATTTTTTCACGCTCCTTGGGCGGACAAGAGTGGGCACAGTGTGTAGGGGTCAGGAGTGCAGAATGTCCCCCAGGAGCCCCCCAAATGAGGTTTCACATGGGAGATCTAATCAGGAACCACGTTCCTATTTCTTCTGTGGCTGAAGGGTGAGACCTACTTGCACACACCTACTGATACCAGACCACGCTGCCTGATCGCTAGTCACTAGTCTATGCAGAGCACCTAATAATGGATGTGTCGGACAGCCCATTGCGTTCCAGGCCAACAGAGCCCTTGCATCTGGACCCATGAACATCAGCATCTTTGGTGGAAATACGTGACCACAGCATGCTCTTGAGCCTCAGCATGAGGAGCGGGCAGACCTTCATCTGCATCCACACTGTGTGTCAAACAACAGCAGTTTTTATGTCTGAGCACTCTGCAGTCAGGAGTTCTCAGACTCAATTAATGTAGAAAATTGTATTATCCCACATGCCGTAATTTATTTCCTTGTAAGAAGAAATTATGAATTTTAGTATCACAGAGGCCAAACAAACTCTAAACAAAGTCTAAGGTTTACTAACAATCACAGTAATGGCTAATATTTTGAGCCCTCTATACTGGGTACTTTATGTGAATTACATTGTTTAAGTCCCTCAGCTGTCCTTGGAGGTAGGAACTTGTCGCTGAGGATGTATAAATGAGACTTTGAAAGACTAAATTGCTTATGATGGCCAGGCAAAGCCCAAGCGGCTCTACACCAAGTCTGACATCCTGACTCCTGACCTCGGTGCTGTGTCCTTTGCCAAGACTGTGGAATGCCCAGACCCCTACCCAACTGGGGGACCATGCCAAATGCAAGCTCTTTTCTGTTATGAACCATTGATATGAACTGCCTTTTATAAGTGGAAAAAACAAAACAAAACAAAACAAAACTTGATTCAAGGCATCCCAAGTGTTAAATTCAAGTAAATCCACTCCTAGCTCTGTTCAAGTCAAGGCCAGCAACTTGAACTCCAAGGTCTATCCTTAAGGAAACGTGTTCTCTGGAGGTTTCTTTGGCCTGTGTCACATAAAGGAACACTTTTGTTCTTATGTAACCATTAGCATAAGGGTCACCTTCTTTATCTGATAGCCTGTCAGGTTAGCGGAGCTTACAGAACCTGTTACCCAACACCTGCTTTTGTTTCTTTTGCAATTCTAAGAAAACAGATGTGTTGATACCCTATCTATTAAAAATCTTGATACCATTATGATATTACAAGTTGATTTCACTTCTTTGATATGGCTGAACACTCAAGTAAAGTTTCTCCTCTCAAGTAAAATAAGCCATCCTGGGTCAATCTCTGGGTGTGTGTCTGTTCCCTACACCATAGACCACCCAGAAACTCAGTCCTGAGCCAATCTACAAACATCCCCAACATTGTGAATTTGATTCACAAGTGGTTAGATTGCTAATAAAACCTGAATTTGAATTTGTGCTTGGTCACTACAAGATAATAGAGTAAGCCCATGGAGAATTTCAGCAGGAGGACCAGTAGATGAATTTTTGATGTGTGCATGGAAACCGCCCTGTATCTGTTGAAACTCACTTTTCTCCCTTCCTCCACTCACCAGTCCTGCAGAGCGATCTCTTACACTTATATTCAGATCACGTCATATCTCATCCTAAAACCCTGCCATGCCTTCTTCCCACACCACTCTGCACAAAAACCTGACGAGCTGCTCATGGGGGGTCCCTCCCTTCCTTTCCAACTACAGAACCAACCACACTAGGCTGGTAACTCTTTCTGAGAAGGGCTGATTTCAGACTTCCTTTGGGGCTGATTTATACTTTGTTTCCTCCCTTATCCATTATTCTGTAATCCTTTGAACTTCTTCATTTTGCTTCAAACCACCTATGGTGATCAGAAATCATAGACATTTAAAAAATTTTATTGTTTCCCTCCATATAATGTGAGCCCCAAGAGTGGGAGAATTCTGTCTTGTTTGTTCAGTAACTGGTTACCTAGAACAGTGCCTGACACATAGTTGGCCCTCAAAACATATTTTTTGTATGAATAAATAAGAAACATTTTATTTAATACATTCTGTGTAGTTAACATTTAAGACAGAGCAAAGGTTGAAATATATGGATAGTTTAGTTGCCTTTGTATCCATCACATTTTAATGCAAAGGGGCTTGGTTCTGCATAGTTTCTTTCTGTCTGAAGACCATTAATATATTCATTTTGTTTCATAAATGAGTTTTAAGATTAAGGGAAAGAATATTCAAATGGATTTATTGATTTCAATATTCAGTAGTGAATGAACAATCTTACTTGTATTGTTTATATTTAAAAAAAGATAGATTAAAACAGAATTGGTATTTACATTTTAATGGCAGCGATCCTGGACAACATGTAGGAAGTGTGTGGGCCAGGAAGACGCATCTATTAATTGTAACATTCGTGTTGCCAACACATCTGTGTAGCCGTTCGTCTCCCTTAAAAGACAATAAATTAAGTACCTTTCTCTCAATTTAAATTACACCTTTTTTTTTCAGGCTTTTGTAATTCAATGTTAGATGAACAGAGCATGCTTTTGAAACTTTTAACAGAAGCTATGTTTTGACCAGCAAAAAGTAACCACTCGTTCACTTTCTAAATCGTTAAAAGAAAAATATTCACTGTGTATTTTTTCTTCATGGTTCATTTTTCTTTCCCATTTTCAGAAATTGAAAAGGGAGGATGTGGGGACCCTGGTGTCCCCGCCTACGGGAAGCGGGCTGGCAGTAGCTTCCTCCACGGGGACACGCTGACGTTCGAGTGCCAGGCAGCCTTTGAGCTTGTGGGGGAGCGGGTGATCACGTGCCAACAGAACAACCAGTGGTCTGGCAACAAGCCCAGCTGTGTATGTGAGTACTGTGCCTGGATGGGGCTGTTCCATCCTATGACTGCCAGGCCTGGGGAGAGGGAAGGAAAGAGGCAGGTGCCCCTAGAAAGGGGGCAACGTTCAGAACCTCTGGAGAATGCTTCATTGACCAAAGAAGCATGGGCGTTCTCAAACACCAACTTCCTTGCTTTGCTCACTCAGGTAAAACTAATCCATGCTATTGTTCCATCTCCTACATAAAATGTAGCTGAGAGCTCTCTGCTAGCAAGAACAGACCATGCATACAGAAGCCTTGCTTCCCTCCAGAGCTTCTGAAGCGGGTTGGTCTGAGGCATCCTCAGGCAATGGACTTGATGACTTTGATAATGTGCTAGCATGCAAACACCAGTTGTGAGTGTGGGTAGCATCAGCCTAGGGTTCAGAGAACTGCCTGCTTCCTCATAAGTAAAGGATTCTAACAAATAGAAACAAAGTACTTCATGGTGATTTAAAAGCAAGATTTTTTGGTAACTAAATGTAGCATGTAACTACATTGTAGTAACATTTTGTAACAAATGTAGCATGAAACCTGAAAGACAAATTTGGAATTATATGGAATAAAAAGCAAAGCCACACCATAGAAATAAATCCAACAGGTGTCCTCTCTCTCTCTCTATGTATGTATGTAAACTGATTTTAAGTACACACTCTTAAAAGATAAATGTTCTGAGAGATTTTTATATTATCCACCCAACACATGGTCTGATTTTCTGAGTTATTTTTTATTAATCATTACCTTATAACTAATAAAAAATAATAACTTGAAAAAATTCACTTTAAAGGCAAACATAAAATATAAAGAGAAAAGTTATCCTAGAAGACTAAACAGAACCAATATTATTTTCTGGAAATTGCTCCTGTTACACAAACACACCTTTTCGTATTAATGTTTGCTCTTCCGAAGGCAGAAACCTATAACTAGGAATTCTGATATTTGCCCCAGGTGTCCATGAACTCGGCTTGGACCGTTTCTGAGTCAAGCCTATACTCGATTATGTGCGGACTCTGGTTGTGGTGTGTACCATGAAATATTCTATTTACAATTTAGGGAAAGATGGGATGTTATGGTACAGAATTACCAATTCAAAAACAGGTGGATGATCCTAACTCTCTGCAGGTGTGGATTGCCTTCTGAGTAGGTCGCCATTAGTTAGTTTCATGTGGCTGGTTATTTGTGTGCAAAATTGTTTGAAAATGTGTTTGTGTCTTCACAGTTTCGTGTTTCTTCAACTTTACTGCATCATCAGGAATTATTCTCTCACCCAATTATCCGGAGGAATACGGCAACAACATGAACTGTGTCTGGTTGATCATCTCCGAACCAGGAAGCAGAATTCACCTCATCTTTAATGATTTTGACGTGGAACCCCAGTTTGATTTCCTCGCGATCAAAGATGATGGGGTTTCTGATATCACCGTCCTGGGCACCTTCTCAGGCCATGAGGTGCCCTCACAGCTGGCCAGCAGCGGTCACATAGTCCGCTTGGAATTCCAGTCCGACCACTCTACAACCGGCAGGGGGTTCAACATCACTTACACCAGTAAGCAAGCCTCCCCCACAGCACTTTCAGGCCCCTTTTACGTGTATGTGGCGTGTGGGGCCCTGGCTGACACTTCATAACATAATGAGAGTAGCACAGTTAGATAGCATTGTCCCGTCAACCCAAAGACGACATCACTCCATCTAGGTTGGTGTCTCAGTCAGCCTTACAGTGGGGACTAGCTCTCATGTGTCTTTTCTCTTTCTCTGATTTTCCTTACATCCTTCCTTCCTTCCTTCCTTCCTGCCATCCATCCCTATATCCATCCATCTATCCATCCATCTATCCATCCATC